TATACATATATATATATATATATATATATATATATGTTAGATAGGTAATATAGGTATAAAACATAACAATAGGACATTTTACTTAGCTTTGCTTATTTTTCAATATAAAAATTTTTTACAATAAAGATGCTTAACTCTAGCTGTAGATTAAATTTTGCACCGTGTGTGTATTGTAGCTTTGCTCAATAATTTTTTTTAAAAAGACTTCCTTAATTTGAGCATATAACAATTGGCGCAGTCAGTACGATGTGTCAAGTATAGGCAAATCCTATTCTAATAAAGTTCAAAAATCGATTTACCAAGTGACGACGTGAAGCCGTTTGCTTTTCGTTGGTTTAGTAAAACGAAAATAAACTGTCCAAACGATCTGTCCAAAACTTGTCAAAGTTCTGTTCATAGTTTAAGTTTTGTGTGTTCGCCGAGTTGGCAGTTAGAAGCCACTTGCTTCGACCTTGCCTAAGAAAATCTTCGAAAAAGAAGACCGTCAAAAGGACGTCTCACCCCGTTTCCCTCCTGCGAGGATCAGACCTAGTAACTGCATGTTCCGAATCATACTAACTATCGTCACACTAGTGGACTACTCAAGGTAGGTGGTTTGAAGATATTTGCCATTTTCATATTTTTGTACGAAAATCTTTTCCCTATTCCCTAATTGCTTTTATTATCGAATAATTTTGTGTCAATCATGGCTGAGCAAGGAGACAGTTATTCTAGGAAAGGATTATCAGAACTAATGACAAATTTTTATGGTCATAATATTCCATTACACCTGTTGAATTCATTGTAATTTAACTGTTTTGGATACAGCGGTTTATTGCCCTAGCCCATGGTCTGCTTGGGTTGTAAATACCATAAGTAACCACTTCAATACTCACCCTTGATTAATATTCAAACATTAACTAATAGCCTTGAAACGTTACTTCTGTGAAACCCAAGCAGGTACCGTTACCACCCCCTTCGAGGGAAAGGTAGTAGGAAAACGAGAAACTTTAAATATGGAAGATAGCATTGCACTTTGAACAGTCATAACGATTTGTCAACGTAAATCACTTTATCATCGAAGCACATAATAATAAACATAAACAAATATTTTATCAACATAACATAAGCATTATTATTATTATTAATTTTAATTATTAACTAGTTTTAGTGAAGTTATTTATTAATAAACATAAAAATACAGTTCGAGTTTTATTTCGAACAAAAGAAGTGGCACGGCAGTGCAAAAACGTAAAAAACATTGGTCCTTCGAGCCGGATACAATTTGTGTATCAGTGTATCAACATCATCAAAAACCAGAAAACCGCATCGTATCACATTATCACCAGGGATATAACTGCATTCCGATCACAACATCAGGACACCTGGTCCCATCTTTCAATCTGCATCAAGGCTGTTTCCAAGTAGGTAAGTGCAACTCCTTTTACTTCTTTATCATATCCTTAGAATTTACTGAATCAATTTGTGTTAGCAATGTCTGAATTAAACGAATTAGTCACACAAAGAGCCAAACTAAAATCGCGACTTACTCGCTTCAAAAATGCGTTTAACATCGTGTCTAAAAAAGATGTCATAACAGAAATCGATGTAACCGAAGTTAAAGATCGTTTACCAAAACTAGAGTCAGCTTTGGACGAATACCAAACAATTCATGATCAAATTATACAGCTTTCTGACGACCCTAGTCATGAAAGGGATATTGAGTTATTTGAAGTTTTACGAAACAATTGCTCAAATGAAGTGTTTTTTATCAAATCATGCGCCAAAAATCGACTCGTTTAAAATGGGAATCATTTAAACCCTTTGATGAATTTCCCACATTCGACGAATTTCTTAACTTTCTAGAGAAAAGGTGTAGCATTTTAGGTTCATTGGAAGTGAACAAACCAAATCAAAGTTTATTTAATAACAATGGCGCATATTAAAGCACATGTAAGTTCCTTTAAGCCTTATTGCTACTTGTGCAAGATATCAAATCACGCTATTTTTAATTGTGAAGCATTCCTAAAACTAACCATAAAGGAACGAATTGCAGAAATCAAAAAATTGCGTCTTTGTTTGAATTGCCTTAGGAAAAATCATATGACAAAGGAATGCACTTCACAGGGTTGTAAGAAATGTCACAAAAAACACAATACCTTTCTACATATCGACCATTCGACATACGTAGATACTAACAATTTAGGTAAACATACTTTAGAAGAAATAAGCAATAATCGTGATAGAAATGAAAATCCTAGCCAATCTGGTGCCTCAGATGTTCTAGATAACAGCCGAGAAGTAACATATACTAACCAATTGTTTTGTGATAAACTCAATAATCAGACAATATTATCTACAGCTTGCATCGATGTAATAGACCACTTAGGAAGACCTCAAACATGTAGGATTTTATTAGATGCAGGCGCGCAATCAAATTTTATAACAAATGATCTATGCAATAAATTAGGTATAAGGAAAATCAAACATAACTCGTTTGTAGGTGGTATAGGGCAATCAGTGTCCACAATTAATCATAAGATCCAACTTAATATAAAATCTAAACTCAATAATTATACAGCAAACATAACATGTTTAGTTTTAGATCGCATAACAGATAATTTGCCTTTAATACCATTTAATTTGGATGAACTTCATATTCCCCCAAACCTAAATTTAGCAGATAAGAAATGCAATGTACCGAGTAAGATTAATATGCTAATTGGTGCCGGTCTCTTCTGGGAATTATTGTGTATAGGTCAGGTAAAATTAGGAAAGGGAAAACCCATTTTACAGAAAACAAAATTAGGTTGGGTTCTAGGAGGGAATATTCATATTAATGTACAACGTGAAAAGCACTCGGTTTCTTGCCTTAGCACATTAAATAGCCAAGATAATAGCATCGACAAACAATTAACGAAATTTTGGGAAATAGAAGAGTGTTCAGGTAAAATCAGCAATTATTCATTAGACGAACAACATTGTGAGAATCATTTTATTAGATCAATTAAGCGAAATAGTTTAGGTAGATTTGTAGTAACAATACCACTTAAAATCTTGGAACTCAGTAAATTAGGAAATTCTATGGCGTTAAAAAGGTTGTTTGCTATGGAGAGAAAACTGAATCGTGATTTAAATATAAAATCTGAATATATTAAATTCTTAACAGAATACGAACAGCTAGATCATATGAGTAAAATATCAGAAAACGGAATACAGGGTCCTCGATTTTATTTACCCCACCATCCTGTGTTTAAGCAGTGTAGTACGACGACGAAACTTCGGGTGGTATTTGACGCATCCGCTAAGACTGCTTCCGGTATTTCTTTAAATGACATACAGTATATAGGGCCAACAATCCAAAGCGACTTATTATCAAATCTTTTAAGATTTCGTCAACACGATTTTGTAATAACAGCCGATATCACTAAAATGTATCGTCAAATTTTAGTTGACGAATCCCAACGAAACCTACAATTAATTCTTTGTCGGCCGAATCAAAATCGGGATGTGGATTGTTTTTGCTTGAACACAATTACCTACGGCACGGCTGCAGCTTCTTTTCTAGCTACTAGATGTTTGAACCAGTTAGCCCTAGAACATGAAAATCAATTTCCCTTGGAAAGCCATTTAATTAAAAACGATTTTTACATGGACGACCTATTAACCGGGTCTATCTCAGAAATAAAACTAATGGCCATTCAAAGGAATATCTCCAAAGTTTAAAAATCCGCCGGGTTCGAATTATGTAAGCGGACGTCCAAGAGCCAAAACGTTATAGAAAATGTTGCATCTTAACAATACTATAGATTTTATTTTATTTTGCATACTAATTTTACTATTGTCAGAAATTTTAAGTATTATTTTCTATTTGTATACAAATTCAATTCTATTATTCATTTTATTATTTAGCTACAATTTTCAGGTATATATTATTTATCAAATGCAAACAGTAATCTCAGTATTTTTGAACCATAAATTTTATAATGTATTCTACTATCTTATTGTAACATTTCTTCCTTTGTAAAGTCACGTTCGCTATATTACTGTAATTTCCAAATTTAAATTCACTTATTTTGTCTGTACCTGAAATGGGGTATTGACCTGACTGACAGGGTCGCCTTGCACCCTCAATGTTATTGTTAACGCCCACTGGCGAAGCTATTTATGTAATTAGTAATACACATTTTNTTTACTCAGATAACGGCTTAAGTTTTGTAGGAGCAAATTCCGAGTTAAACGAATTTTACAAAATGCTAAACAACCCATCAAACTCTGCCATTATCAATAATATAATGAATAAGTCAGGCATTACTTGGCATTTTATCCCTCCCAGATCGCCCCATTTTGGGGGTCTATGGGAAGCTGGTGTGAAATCGGTAAAAAACCATTTGAAGCGTGTAGTCGGTAATACAAAACTAACATTTGAAGAGTTTTATACCTTGCTAACACAAATAGAAGCGGTTTTAAATTCCCGTCCTCTTTCCCCTTTATCAAATGACCCAACAGAGTTAGAACCCTTGACCCCAGCGCACTTCCTTATTGGTCGAAAATTAACAGCCATGCCAGAACCTTCGTTACTGGACATCAAGGAGTCCCGACTAAACAAATTTCAGCATATCCAGAAGATGCAGCAGGACTTCTGGAAACGTTGGAGCAAAGAATATGTACATCAATTACAGACTCGGTCGAAATGGAAGGAAACCCAGCAGTGTTCAATCAAATCAGGTGTTCTCGTCTTAATTAAAGAAGACAACCTGCCTCCATTAAAGTGGCAATTGGGTCGTGTAGTTGACGTTCACCCGGGAAGTGACGATGTGATACGAGTTGTTTCAGTGAAGGTGTCGAACGGAAAAATCCTAAAACGTGCGGTCACAAAAATATGTGTGCTACCAATGGACATGTGAAAATGACAGTTTATATATGTATTAGTTATAGAAGTTTAGTTCATAGATAACAATTAGGGTTTATATAATTGTAAAATTGATAAACGGATGTTTATGTATTGTATATATTTGTACATTGAAGACGTGTCAGGTAATATGTGGAAGCATCTTTATGTTTATATTTCAGTTGAAAGCAGCAACTTTCAAGGCGGGCGGCTATGTTGAATTCATTGTTATTCGACCGCTTTTGGATACAGCGGTTTATTGCCCTAGCCCATGCTCTGCTTGGGTTGTAAATACCATAAGTAACCATTTCAATACTCACCCTTAATTAATATTCAAACATTAACAAATAGCCTTGAAACGTTACTTCTGTGGAACCCAAGCAGGTACCGTTACCACCCCCTTGGAGTGAAAATAGTAGTAGGGAAACGAGAAACTTTAAATATGGAAGATAACATTGCACTAAGAACAGTCATAACAATCTGTCAACGTAATCAATTTATCATCAAATCACATAACAAATCACAAATATTTGATCAACATAAACATAAGCAGTATCATTATTATTAATATTAATTATTAACTAGTTTTAGTGAAGTTATTTATTAATAAACATAAAAATACAGTTCGAGTTTTATTTCGAACAAAAGAAGTGGCACGGCAGTGCAAAAACGTAAAAAACAGTAGGTGCAGGTAGATACATAACAGAATATAAAACTAATTTCGTTTGAATGGTGTCATAAAGTTAAAGGCGGTCTATTGTTGACAGTTTTATTGCACGAGCCGCCACTTTAGATGGCTCAGAGTTTAAAATAATTTCCTTATGTTGAAATCAAAAACTTTTTTCTCTGACTAAAGTGATGCGCCCTTTTAAAGCATTGTAAAACTGATTTGCTGTTTTACATACCATAACATTTTTTAATCCCACCTTATTTCACAGGGTCTTAACACTTAATGGTATAGAGTGGCGGTGATGGTAAATGTTGGGTAAAATTAGAAATTCCTGCGAAAAAATAAGAAGCTTAAAATTAGATATTCTGTGAGACATTTTGTGTAGCTTCCGCTTCTTAAACAAATATGTCAAAATTAATTATTATCTGTTTCGGGTTTTCCACGTAAAAAATTCTAAAGGAACGCTTCGCACTTGTCAACTTTCACTTAGTCTTTACGCGCCAAAGGTGCTGACACCTTCCAATTTGAAGATTCCAGAATTAAAAAAGAAACACTGGCTTCTTCTATTACAGTTTTTTTGTCTTATTCGCAAGTACCATATATAAATAGGCTTTTCTCAATTTTATATTAGTTAGGACACTAGATAACTGTCTCTCACATGCTAATGTAAAAAGACCATCAAAACTATGCTACTTCTATATTTCTCTACGTACGAAATCTATAATTATCTTGAAAATTGAATAGGATAATGGGTATTGTTGAGAATCAACAAAGGTCTAATTGATTTTTCAATTTTGTTTTCCCAATGTCTCGAGTCAACAATGGCCTAATTCAATTATAATATTGAAAAATACTATTTGAGTTAAGAAAATAGTATTACAATGTGAGATGGGTTGGTAGGACACCTTCTCAGTCATGAAGGGCTAGTTAAATAAGTATTAGAAGCAGAAACAGGAGTTAAATAGGGCGCAGCTAGACCTGGATCAGTTTACTGTTCGCATATACTCATAAATGTGGATATCGATTGATCTAATGCATCGATCGACTTGAGATTAAAAGTACTGGAGACTTAGCTGAAGACTTTCTTTATAATAATGTCATCATCATCATAAGGTCGCAGTCCTAAGACTGGTTGGACACGTACCTCCACTCTTTCTTATTCTAAGCTAAACTTCGCATTTACCTAAAACTAGAACAACCCATATCCTTAACTATTTGCGAACAGTAATCTAATCCAGGTCGAGGTTCTCCTATTCTTTCTAATACCTCTTCATTTCTAACCCTTTCTACCCACGTTATCCTCAGCATTCGCCTATAACACCACATTTCGAACACTTCTAACCTTTTCTTTTCCGCCGCGCCCAGTGTCCATGTTTCGCACCCGTACAACGCAGTCCTCCAAACATACACCTTCAACAACCTTTTTCCAATTTCTAAATTAACCGTTCGCGAGCATAGAAGTGACTTCTTTTTATTGAAGCCGACTCGACCCTGGGCTATCCTCTGCTTTATATCCCTACCAAATCAACCACTTCTTCTAATTTTTCGTGTCCTATCTTTATATTCGCTCTTTCCTTATTTTAGTTTCAATAATATACTTTTATGTAAATATATGTTCTTTTTATATTGTAGATAAATATTAGATATCAAGTTGGCGCTTTTCTACAAAAAGTGGGTTCTACCTTTCACGAAAGCGTATCGTTTTCTGCAACTGTTTATTGTTAGCAAATGGCGATACTATAAAAACAAAAACGTTTTTGAGATATGAAACTGCCGAGTGTCGTTATCTTTAATGGCCTGTTTCTATTCTATCGTCTGAAGTTCGGTGCCTACCACGACATCACAACTGATACAAATAATGATTCTTGTACATCACAATCTAAATGCTAATGCAGGTTGCGATGCGAGCGTAACGTTTTAGTTTTGGCAACAGTGTTTTCAATTATCCGTGTGCACTTGCACTGTATATCGGAAAAGATATGACAGTAAATTGGAACGGTTGCGGACTTAATGTCGGAGAACGGAATCCGATAAAAAGCTGCAGCACATTTTCCAAAGCACGAGGATACTGTTTATTTTAGCGACTTTGCGAGTTCCGAGCGGAGACGCAATGGAGCGAGTTGTCTATATGGCTCCGTTGCAGTCGACTTTGTTCACTGTTATTGTTACTTTTATGTCATGCCCGTTCGTCGAGTGTCATCCTTGCGAAAACAAAATCATTTTTGTTCCTTTGCTTTCGCACCGATTCACACAGCTCCTTAATTTTAAAGATACCTGTACATCGATTAGAGTTGCAACAAACCTCTGCTTCCGCTTCCGCAATTACGGAAGGTCCGCATACTTTTTCACATCCGCTTCTGCATCTGCTTCCGCATATTTAGTTATAACGGAAGCTTATCGGAACTTAATAAAAATTCTTATTTCTCGTTTTTAAAAATCGATATATCGGAACAATAAAACAAGTTGTAAAAATTTATTGTTTTTATCTGTTGGCTGAACTTGAGCTAAAAGTGCAATTTTGAAGCCAAAAAGAAATTCCATTTGGTATTATTTTGTTGATATTGACGATAGAAAGAGTTACCTGAATTATATCTTCCGCTTCCGCTTCCGCTTCCGCATCCGCTTCCGCAAGAATTTACTATTTAAATCTGTTTTCGCTTTTGTTTCCGTTATGACACTTCCGTTGCATCACTAGTGGGTAAATATGAAATGCGTTTCAAAAATTGATCTATTGTATACAAATATAATAAAGTATCCACATCATTGAGGAATTTAATCAGATATAAATAATCTATTTCTAAGTCGAATTGTAAATAATACAGTAAAGTTTTTTTTGCTTTTTATTAACAATTAATGTTACTACATAATGCTAAAAGTAAGTGAACCCAGTTGAAAATTTACCGTTTAAAATTAGATTTAGAAAAGGCAACCAGCTTGAGACGCTGGCTGACTGTAAGGATTTTATCCGGGAAATACGAGAGCAGTTAGACGTTGCAATAAGGGACCGCTGCCTTTCTCGGATTTAGCCCAATAATTCCCGCAACTTCTGGTAGCTAACGGTTTGTTTCGCCCTAAATCCCACTTGGTCCACTGTAAAGCAATCTAAGTCCGCGCCAGTTGGTGGCAATGATGATTTGCGTTGCTTTTAATGATTCCAGGATTCATTTCAGTCCTGAATCGACAACTCCGAGTTGAAAATGGAGCAGTGACAGAGAACTTATAATCCAATAAAGAAAAATTCCCGGAGCGCCCCTTATTTTAAATTCTTTCAGATTATTTATTTAATTTACAATTAAATTTTAATTAATGTTCTATAATATTAATAAATATCTATCATAAGGAAGCATTTCTGTCTATCTCGTACATTTACGTATTTCACTGTGTATTTAATCGACTGACTTTGACTACGTCTACTAGTTAGCCATCTTATGGAATGTTCTCGACTTCTTTTGGAAGCCTCTCGAACCTTCTCGTAATTTTTTTGCATTGCACTCTTACATGTGTTACCAACTTATGATTTACAACCGACTTTCAGCATCGCTTCAAAGGGTGATGCCTCATTATCGATTCTAACCGGCAAACCCATCAGTACAACACGATGCTGTAACCGAGTGGTTTACGCTATAATTCGACAGACTTCTGGAAGCCTCTCGAACCTTCTCGTATTTTTTTGCATTGCACTCTTACATTTGTTACCAACTTATGATTTACAACCGACTTTCAGCATCGCTTCAAAGGGTGCCGCCTCATTATCGATTCTAACCTGCGAACCCATCCGTACAACACGATGCTGTAACCGCGTGGTTTACGCTATGATTTCACAGCATCCTTATTATTACTAAAGCTGATACAATACTATAATTGTTGTGAAAAACATTTATCATTTTCCAAAAGCGATTCAAAAATTACGTTATAATTGAAGATTGTGAAATGGTAATGTCAAAACAGGGTTAGATCAAGAGTCAGCATAAGAATAGCTCTAACTAAAAGCGAATGCATTATGTGTATCCCTTTATTTTGGCTCAGGTTTTGTAATATTACGGTCAGAGTTTTTCTTAATCTTGCCAAGCTGTACAAAAAGCCCTGGTGCTCCAAAACAAAATTACAATGTTTATCTGTTGGAAGACATACTTCCTCGTAATTAAATCTTCACTTAGCTTACCAAATTAGGAGTCATTAAAAAATTCACATTCACGAATGGATTAACACATGATTCGCTAGTTTAAATTTCATCGGTATAGCGTCGAACGTTGAAATTACGGTATATCTCAAATCAGTTTGTCGACGTCTTAGAAGTTACCAAACTCCATCCAAAACTTTCCGAGAACATGCATGATACATCTACA